AATATTTATTTTATTCATTTATTATTGTTATATATATATATATGTACATATTATGTTCAAGTAGTTATGATGTAACATGGATATGGATATGGATATCAATACATAGCTGAAACAGAGGGAGTTTTGAAGTAAAGTAAGCAGTATGAGGGATAGAAATCTGACCTTCTAAGAACTCTCATATAATAGAAAGTTGTGACTACATCTTGTTCTATGTTCAGTGACTGTGATACGAGTGATGTATGAATGGACAGGTTAGTGACATTGTGTTATGGTTTTAAGACAAACCATGAACAGAGGGAATGTAGAATATTGCATATTCAATGTTTCTATTGATTATATATGGATGTGTGGATTTACATAAGTAACAGATGGTCTAAGTCACATGGCTTTCTTTGTATGAGAGCTCTGGAATGTGGATTTGGGGGTCTTGTCCTCATATGGCTAGTGTTAAACTCTGATGTCAGTATGGGCACATCTATATAGTAACAGAGGGACACGAGGTCTCTCTCTCTCTTAGCTCTTGGCTCTCTTTCCTGTACAATGATGTAACTCTCCCTTCAGGAGTCCAGCAATTACCATCTGCTGTTGAACATCCATTATCCTGTAACATCCTTTGTTGTTTTATTATGTATCCGTTACTAAGAATAAACCTGAAGAAACCGTAAGTCAGATTGCTTATTAGTACTTTTCATTAATATAGACATATATTAATGTGGGGAGCATTATATTTGGCCAAAGACTATATATACAAAAGACGTATATATCAATCAACTGAAGAGAAGAAGAAATTAAGAAGATTTAACATTGAGGTTCCAAATCAGATTTTACACCAACATATCCAAAAATCACCCAGATCAGTTCAGGGGTTCAGGAATTTTATGGACGTCTTAGTTTGACCGACCGCACGCATGGTTCCATTCCCAAAACAGTTCCAGAGAATTAGGCTGTGTGGTCGGTCTATTTCAGGAATTCAAAATAACGTCTAAAATACCGAACATAGCTGTTCGTGAGTAGAGTCAGTGTATTTCTCTCGTTCGGGAGTTTATTCTTACTGAACACCGTTTGACTTCCGTTCGAATAGCCGAACGTCTAGGGAAGGTAAATGGTTAGCGGTGTTAGTGCCGTTGAGTGTCCGATTTTAGTTCCATGCACTCGATGACCAAATACCGCTGGATGAGTTAGACAAAACAAGATGGCCATCACGTGTTTGAATGCTGATTCGAATGTCTTTGAGAGTTCGGGAGTTCGAAGTGTTCCTGGTATAAGTCCAAAGGGCACAAACAGTGTATTCAACCAAAGTCTACCACAGGGGCCATAGTAACGGGGCAAGTAGGCCCCTCCAAAAACCTGTGACGGGGTTAAGTCATACTACTTAATTTGGTATCCTATCCTTATGTGGGATTAACATATTTCAGGATACCAAATAAGGGGAGCGATCTACTAAACAACAACTTAATTTACCATCCTTAAATATGGCAAAATCGTGACACAAATTGGGGACCCCGTCTGACGCTATATCAAGCAGAATACTGAGTCAGACAGGGGTTCCCAATTTGTGTCACGATTTTGGAGAGCATTTTCTAAACAGTTGAGTATAGAATTACTGTTTTCGTCTTCATACCATTCTCAAACTAATGGTGTGGCTGAACAAGTCAACCAATCGTTGGAACAATATATGAGATGTTTTATTAATGGCGCTTAGAAAAACTGGTCTGATTTGTTACCGTGTGCTGAATTCGCCAGAAATAATGCTACCCATGACTCATCTGGACATAGACCATTTTTTTGTTAACAATGGTCGTCATTCTACTATCCTCCCTGCGGTGTTCTCTGACACTGCTATTCCCACTGTGGATGACCATCTCACATGTATTTGTGAGACAAGCTGATTAAAGGCGGGTGCCAACCCTTTACCAGGTGGGTGACAATATATGGCTCTCCACACAGAATATTAAACTCAAGGTTCCTAGCATGAAGTTTGCACCCAAGTTTATTGGTACCTTTCAAATTATTCGTAGGATTAATCCTGTGTCCTATTCCCTGGCTCTCCCCGCCTGTCTGCGTATTCTGAATATGTTTCATGTATCCCTATTTAAGCCTCTTATCTGTAACAGGTATACTACCCTTTCTGTCCCTCCCCTTCCTTTGCTTGTTTCTGGACAGGAGGAGTACGAAGTGTCCTCTATTATCAACTCCAGGTTTTGTTGACTGTCTTTACAGTATTTGGTTGATTTGAAGGGTTATGGGTCTGCCGATCGTTTTTGGGTTTCTGCTTCAGGCGTACATGTGGGCTGCAACATCTGTTCCTTCCATGCCAGGTTTCCCCTTAAGCCTGGTTCTGCCCACCCGGTGGGTGGTCTTCAGGTGTGGGGTACTGTCACGGCTCCCGGTCCCTCTGCCGGTGGGGCTGCACACAAACTTAGCAGCCACGCCGACAGAGATGTTTCAGACTTACCTTGGCCCCGGCGGGCAGCTCCCCGGTCTCCCTCCGTTCCGGTCCCCAGTGGATGCGACGTTCTTAGAAATGCCAGCCGCTGCGTTTCGGGCTTTTATGAGAAACTTACCTTCGCCCACATCAAAGATGGCGCCAACGTGCATGCAACGTCACCAATTACAGCCTAAGAAGGGTTATTTAAACCGAAATTACCTTTTTATCAGTGCCCTGTTGTGGTTTCCACTAGCTGGTTATCCTAGAGTGTGTTCCTGATCGTGTTTTTTATTGTATTTGACTTTGGCTTTGTTTGCACTGCCCTGATTTCTAATATCCTTAAATTTTGGCTTTCTCCATTGTTGTGTCTCTTTCTGTGTCCCTGACCTCGGCAAGTATTTTGACTATTCTCTGGTACGTTGAATCCGGACATTCTAAGGTCCGGTTAAACGTTATTCTTAGTCCTAGGTATGATACTATTCTGCGTGCTGGATCAACAGTAATCCTGACAGGGGGGCAGGCTGTGATGTATTGGGGTGAGAGACTGGATGTGAGGTATTTTGGTGTGAGTGACTGGCTTAGAGGTATTGGAAGTGTGAGGGATAGGCTGTGAGGCATTGGAGGGATGAAAGACTGGCTTTGATGTATTGGGTGTGTGGGGGATAGGCTGTGAGGTATTGGATAGGTGAGGGGCAGGCTATAAGTTATTGAGGGGTAAGGGGTAGGCTGTAAGGTATTAGGGATAAGGGGCATGATGTGAGGTATTGTGAGGTGGGGGACAGGCTTTGAGGTATTGAGGATAAGTGACAGCCTGTGAGGTATTGGGAGTGAGGGGCAGGCTGTGATGTACTGGGGTGAGGGACAGGATGTGAGGAATTGGGGGGTGAGGAACTGGCTCTGATGTATTGGGGGTGGGGAACAGTCTGCTAGGTATTGGGGTATGAAAGATAAGCTGTGAGGTACTGGGGGTGAGGGGCAGGCTGTGAGGTATTGGGGGTGAGGGACAGGCTGTAAGTCATTGACGGGATGAGGGACAGGCTATACATAGTATTGGTGGTGAGGGACGTGATGTGAGATATTGGAGGGGTGGGGGACAAGCTGTTAGGTGTTGGGGAGTCAGGGACAGGCTGTGCGGTATTGTGGGGGTGGAGGACAGGCTTTGAGGTATTGGGGGTAAGGGACAGGCTGTGAGGTATTTGGAGTGAGGGACAGGATGTGAGGTATTTGGGGGTGAGAAACTGGCTATGATGTATTGGGGTGGAGGACAGGCTATTAGGTATTGGGATGAGGGACAGGATGTGAGATATTTGGGGGTAAGGGACAGGCTGTAAAGGGTATTGGGGGTGAGGGTCAGACTGTGAGGTATTTGGGGGTGAGTGACTGACTGTGAGGTATTGGGGGTGTGAGGGAAAGACTGTGAGGTGTTTGGGGCGGAAGACATGCTGTTAGGTATTGGGGTATGAGGGACAGGCTGTGAGGTATTGTGGGGTGGGGGACAGGCTGTGAGGTATTGGGAGTGGCAGCCTGAGATGTATTAGGGGTGAGGGATAGACTGTATTGGGGGTGAGGGACAGACTGTATTGGGGTGAGGGACAGACTGTATTGGGGTGAGGGACAGGCTGTAAGTTATTGATGGAGTGAGGGGCAGGCTGTGATTTATTGGGGGTGATGGACATACTGTATGGGGTTATTGACAGGATGAGAAGCAGGCTGTGAGGTATTGGAGGGGCGGGGGACAGGCTTTGAGGTATTGGGGATAATGAACAGGCTGTGAGATATTTGGGGTGAGGGGACAGGCTGTTGGATATTGGGTGGTCAGCACAGACTGTGAGGTATTGGAGGGGAGGGGGCAGGCTGTGAGGTATTGGAGGGGAGGGGGCAGGCTGTGAGGTATTGGAGGGGAGGGAGCAGGCTGTGAGGTATTGGAGGTGATGGAGCAGGCTGTGAGGTATTGGAGGGGAGGGAGCAGGCTGGGGAGGCATTGGAGGGTGATGGAGCAGGCTGTGAGGTATTGGAGGGGAGGGAGCAGGCTGTGAGGTATTGGAGGTGATGGAGCAGGCTGTGAGGTATTGGAGGTGATGGAGCAGGCTGTGAGGTATTGGAGGGGAGGGAGCAGGCTGTGAGGTATTGGAGGGGATGGAGCAGGCTGTGAGGTATTGGAGGGGAGGGAGCAGGCTGTGAGGTATTGGAGGTGATGGAGCAGGCTGTGAGGTATTGGAGGGGAGGGAGCAGGCTGTGAGGTATTGGAGGGGAGGGGGCAGGCTGTGAGGTATTGGAGGGGAGGGGGCAGGCTGTATTGGAGGTGATGCTTTTGAAATTGATTGAAATTCTCAAAGAGCTCAATGTGTCCTGACTGAAATCAGGAATATGACATTATGGCTGCCTATTGCCAATACTGCTCCTAGTAAGTAATGGGAGATTTGCCCTCATCGATCATGGTGCCGGGCGGGTCGGTACCCGTGACGTCACTTCCGTTATCCATATTGTATTTTCTTTCTCGGTGTTTTAGTACTTTTAACTCCTCCCCTTTCCGCTGTAATCACGTTCTCAGTGACGTAATCTGGGTGCACAGTGCAGAAGTGGCTGAGCCGCGGGGACGGACCGGTGAGACACACGGTGTCATTGTGTTTGTTGGGTTATTCCTGGTTACAGAATAATAATAGCACCACTAATCAGTCAATTACATTAACATGGGGAGCGGGGAGGGGGCAGCATGGAGGGAGAGAGAAGGAGAGGGGGGCAGCATGGAGGGAGAGAGAAGGAGAGGGGGTCAGCATGGAGGGAGAGGGGGGGGCAGCATAGTGGGAGAGGGCTTCTCAGTATCATTATATATTTTTTTCCCTTTCTTTTTTTTATTATTAAAACATTTTATCATACATTGACAAGTAATAAAGTGCATACAGAACAAGACAAGTGTGACAATGACAAAACAAAAACATATAATTTACATTGTTACAACTGTTTTAACCTATATATTAGGTAAATCACAAGCTAGACAGCTAAGAATCTCTCAGTTGAGATATATTCTGTATCTTATAGAACTAACATCTAGTAAAAATAGATATAGCTATGTAAATATAAATATATATATATGGGCCATGGTCAGTCTGAAGATCTAAAAAGAAATATCCCTATAATAAGGATTTTTTCAGGTCTATCGCAATCCAGGCAGGAAAAGTACGAAGGAATAATTCATTTGTTTTCTAAGATCCGTATCCAATTTATATATTGATCTTGTTTTTTTAAAGAAAGTATAGAAGGAAGTGGTAAGTCTTTTTCCATTTTAAATTGATGTAGAATTTGATTAACAAGCTGACTCCTCAAAAAAGGGAGATGTGACTTCCATTGTCTTGCTATTAATATTTTTACTGCCAGGAAACAATGGTTTACAAGGCATTTAGATGGAGTGGAAGAGAGTTTCCAATTTAAATGTAGCAATGCTGTGTCTGGGCCTTTTTTAATTGTAATATTAAATAAACATTTAAGAATTTCAAAGGACCATTCCCAAAGATTTTTAACCAATTTACAATGCCACCATATATGAACAAGTGTTCCCTCTGTAGAACCACAACGCCAGCAATGAGAAGTTTGACCTGGATACATCTTAGTTAATTTATATGGAGTCAGATACCATTTATACATAACCTTATATTGACATTCAAATAAATTCTGACAATGAATATTGTGACGAGACCAATCTCGCCACATTGCATTGGAGAAGCCTGGTTGCTCGCCTGCTGCCTTTGGACTATGGCCCCCTTTTAAAAGACTTTATTTTTGCCTGCAGAAAAGCTGTATTCGTTCTTTTCTGCCGGTTGTTCGGTAGTTTCAATCTACCGAACAACCGTACGAATGACTGGACCACCTGGGAGCTGGAGTGTGCAGGCAATTAACCTCCCTGAAGCTGCGGTTAACTGCAGCTTAATTGATGAACGCTGGGTGGCCGCCATTCGTATCCCGAACACGAGGTCGCGGCCATTTTAAACCATACGAATGAACAGCGGTGTTCGCCTCTATTTTCATGGAACTAAAATCGGACACAGTTTTGCGCGAACACCGCTGAAGCCGCCGACCTCCCTTCTTGTTCGGTGAAAGTGCACGAATGGCCCGGTGTTCGGTATTTTTGTTTGAATGTCTTATACCCCAGATAGGAATCCCATTGAGCCCATTCGTATGAAACTGACTTAAAGACTTTGGCTCCATGGCGATTAAACTGTATTCGTGTGGTCTGAGTGCCCTTCACCTAATAATGTGCACTCAGACCTGAGCTATCTGGGGATATGTTACATGTCTGTGTTTTATGTAGTAAATGTTACTTTGTGCATTTTAAAGTATAATGCTGGTTTTGTGTCCCCACGTGTGTAATGGAGTTTTTCCTTTGTCTTGGGAGATAATTGAGTTACTTCCCAATTATCTCCCAGGGCAGAGGGGAGGAAGCCAGGATGCATTGTGGGAATATGCTGTGACTGTGTGTCCTATTTGTATACTTGTCTGTCCCTTGTCACAGTCTCCCATTTGGTCCCCTAGGGGAGTGTCCACCAGGTGGGAGACCTGCATAAAAGCCGGGCAGGTAGCCCTCATTAAGCAGACCACTGCTTGACCCTCAACACGGAGCCTTGTCTCGTCTTTGGGGGGATTTACTGTATGCTGCTAAGGACTGATTGCCAGGAGTGTAAGCCGCTTGGGAGCTTTTCCTGTTCGTCTGCTAGCAGCAATTCGTATGGTTCCTGTTCGTGTATTTGAAGTGCTACCTTATTCCCTTGTATGCCGTTCGGGAGTTTGGAGCATTCACTTATTGGCGGTTCGTGAGTTTTGGTGATTCTACAGTAGCTGTGCCTGTCTCTGAAAGGGGGATTATCGTCTAAGCGGTTTTTTCCCCTTTTGTGCAAAACGGTCCGTTACAAATATATTTACGAGTATCTCTAAGAGACATACACCATTCCTGCTCAGTTATGTCGATCTTTAAGATCTTTTTCCATTCATCAAGTATATTTAAGGGTTGTTGATCAAGGTTGGATAACAAATTAGTAGCTTTTGAAAGAATTTTATTAACCTTGGTATATCTAAAGATAGTTTGAAAAAGAATATCAATTTTTGGTGACGTATTTAGTAAAAACATATTCAGAAATTTTTTAATTCTTAAATAAGAAAAAAATTCTTTGTTAGGGAGAAGAAGTTTAGCTTGAATATCCACAAAAGGTAAGATTTGATCGTCATGGAGGATATCTCCAATCGTCCATTGAAATTTAGACCATTTATTTAAAGAAATATCCTCAATATTATCTTCTAAAATGATCAAATGGGATGACTTAATTATTTTATCGGAGATTTTATTTTGTTTTTTTATCTTCTCCCATGCACTAATAATTTGTGACAAAATTAATGATTTGCTACATAAAAATTCTATAGTTTTTTTGTTATTTTTAAGCCATAAATACATTTCCAATCTATCTTTTCCAACTGCCTCAGATTCAATTAGGTACCATGTGTCTGTTTTAAACGATTCAACCTGCAGTTTATATATGTGACCAATAATGTTAGCGTAATAACAATTTCTAATATTTGGATAATTTATACCTCCGTTTTGAGGTTTCCTAGAGAGAACTTTAGAACTTATTCTAGGCCTCGTCGTTTTCCAGATAAATTTTTGAAAACTAGATTGTATCATGGTTAACCAAATTTCTGGAATTTGAAGGGGAATCATCCTAAATAGATAGGACCATTTGGGCATAATATAAGCATTAATTATGTTAATCCTGCCAATCCAAGAGGATTCGGTCAGGCGCCATTCTTTTAATTTTATATTTGTATATTTTAGGAGATTCAATACATTTATTTCCATAATATTGTTAACTTGAGATGAAATTATCACGCCCAAATAATTAAAAACCCTATTAGTCCATACAAAATCATAATTTTCCCGGAGAACTTTTAAGCTGCAAATATCAACATTAGTAGTTACAGCAATTGATTTAGATATATTGAGTTTATAATTAGATACCTTAGAATAGCTTTTTATAGCAGGTAAGACTTGAGGAAGTGAGGATTCTGGAGAAGTGAGTGTTAATAATATATCATCAGCATAAAGTGATATTTTTGCTTCTGAATTCTTCGTTGGAAAACCTGTGATATTCAAATTATTCCTAATATTAATAGCTAAGGGTTCCAAAGTTAAAATATAAAGAAGGGGTGATAAAGGACAGCCCTGGCGTGTGCCATTATGTAAACTAAACCAATTTGATTGAATATTTACACCTACAGTTCTAGCTGTTGGTTCAGAATAGAGTGCCAAAATGGCATCATGAATCCAACCTATGAATCCAAAAGAAGTCAGCACCTCGTCGAGGAAGCGCCAACTGACCCTGTCAAAGGCCTTCTCGGCATCCAATGACAGGGTCAGCAGCGGAATCTCCCGACGGAGTGCACCATCCAAAATATTCACTATTCTTCTAGTGCATGTATCAGAGGATCTACCTGGCAGAAATCCAACCTGATCAGAATGAACAACTCTCTCAACAAGAAGTTTTAATCTAGTTGTTAAAATTGCTGCATATATTTTCATATCTGTGTTGATTAAAGAGATTGGTCAATAATTTTTAACATCAGTTGGATCTTTATTTGGTTTTAGTATTGGAAGAATATTGGCTTGTAATAACTCCTTTGGTGTTTTAGCAGTTTTGGCCATTTCATTAAAGAGAGCCTTTAAAAGGAGTAGTTATCTCTTTTTTCATTACTTTATAGAAAAGATTAGTAAAACCATCCGGTCCAGGAGTCTTATTTAATTGAAGTCTATCAATCTCTCTTTCAACCTCATCTATCGTAAACTCATAATTAAGTTGGGCTAACTCTTGATTGTTAATTTTTGGGATATCGATATTATCCAAATATTGTTTAACATCCTGATTATCTGATGATATATCCAGATCATATAGTTTGCTGTAAAATTCATTAAATAGTTGCCCAATTTTTTCTGGGGAGGAGTATGTATTTTTATCCGCGACCAGTTTATTGATCCTATTATTTGAATTTTGCTTTTTTAATCTTTTGGTTAAGTTTTTATTTGCTTTATTACTTTGATGGTAAGTATTTAATCTCAATTTATTGATTGTTTTTCTAATCTTTTCTTCTGTCTTAAAGTTAATTTGTTTTTGTAATTCTAGAAGTGCTGATCTTAATTGAGTGGTTGGAAATTCTTTATTCATTTTAGACAGGTTAAAATATTGAATATTTAGATCTGTTAGATCTCTATTTATCATAGTTTTAGATTGTTTTTCAATTTTAATAAGATAGCCTCTAATAACCGCTTTATATGAAGACCATAAGGTAGAATCTAGAATATCAGGGGTAGAATTTTCAAGCCAAAAGAACCTTGAAAGTTTAATTATAGTGTCTTGATTTATCTTCACCTTAAAGAGAGAGTCGTCCATTCTCCAGGAATCAGTAGATCTCTGTAAGATCTTACCTATTTCCAATATTAAAAAACTGTGGTCTGACCAAGTATTATCCTTAATTTGGATTGTATTAATTTCTTTCAAAGTATTAGCTTGTACTAAGCATAGATCGATTCGTGAATACGAATCATGCACTTTAGACAAATGCGTGTAATCTCGTAGATCTGGGTGAGTTACCCGCCAGACATCATATAAACCATGCATGGCACATAAATTAGAGAGGGTTTTAGATTGTTTATATAAATGGCTTTCAGATTTTAATTGAATATGAGTTTTTTTATCCATTAGTAAGTATATATTAACCAGAGTGTAAGTTATAGATTCTATTTTGCAGATAATTATAAGAAATCTGCCATTAAGGTCACTGTCTATTAATTTTACTTCAAGTTTTAAATTAGAATCAAATATGATTGCCACCCCAGATTTTTTATTATTTAGGAGAGATGCATGATATATATATTTGTATTTATGCCCCATCCATTTTAGCGACTCAGATCTCAACCAGTGCGTTTCTTGGAGAAAGGCTATTTGTATTTGGTTAGAGACCAAAGAATCATAAAGCATTTGCTTTTTCCACCGTGTATTTAAACCTTGTACATTTATAGACATAATTTTCAGCATTAACTTTCAGAAATTTTGTAAACACTAGCTCGATAGTACCAGATAATTTGAGACACAAAAATGATATTATTCAGACTGACCATAGCCCAATTAGTGCAACAATGCAAATAACAACACATACCACAACATAAAAACCTCTGATGAAACATAAACGTTTCACCAACATTCAACAGTATACATCCCAAGGCTAATAGCCATGGGTTCACTTGATCTTCCATCTTAGAAGATAAGAGATATCTGTGAAAACATCACAGAAAGAGGGGATTAAGATCAGGCATCTAAAGACTTAATTTAAGAATATATATTTGAGATAGAGGTAATAGGCAGAGAGAGAGGAGGATAACTTTGAATTAATAAACATCTACCAATTTTTCAACATTTGTATAAAAAAAAAAAAGGCCCACCAAATTATAATATTTCTTTTGCCTCTTGTGAACTTTCCATCTTTTTTCTCTCCCTCTCCCCCCCGCTTTCATTTCTATCTTATTTTACTAATCCTTTTATTACTTGTGTTTCGTTTGGATATAAAGAGCAAAAATAAGTGAACAAATATATTAATTATATGTGTGCATGTGAGAATTATCACCTTTTAAATCTTATTAAATTTATCTTAATTATACCCCGAATCATACTTAATTTCCTTATTTATAATACATAGCGTGGTCATTCCCTAATAATTAGCTTGTGAAAGATATTTAGAAAGACATTATTTTGCAGTGAACTTCATAATATATATTTGTGACTTTAATTCTCTCCGACCTCTTAGTCTTCCTAATTCCTCTAGAACCCTAAAAGTCTCTATCAAAAATTAATTTAATGATTTGTTCTGTAACCATGTCTTTAGCTTATCTGGTTGATCAAAAGACTCTATTTTTCCATCCATTTGGATAATCATCTTTGTGGGATAGCTCCATCTAAATCTGATATTATGTTGCTTGAGGATATTAATTCCAGATGAAAACATTCTTCTCTTGTTTCTGGTATTATAAGATAGATCTGGAAGTGCTATGATATATGCGTATGGACCATCTTTTATACGTTTCTCTCTATTGGCTTTTAAAACTTGTTCTTTAAATTCAAACGAATGGAAACAAGTAATTATATCTCTTGGAGTATCAGATGCTATATTTGATGGTTTATGCAATCTGTGACATCTTTCGATTTTCTCATTATGGCCATCCAGTTTTAAACCTAGGACTTTAAAGTAATCGTATAGCATATATTCCAAATTTTCTTGTTTATTGGAATCAACAAAATTGCGAAACCTCAGATTTTTTCTGCGGGATCTATCTTCAAGATCTTCTATTTTGTTTTCAAGATTGTGAATTTTTGATGTCAGTGTATTTACTTCTTCGTTCAATGATACTATTTGAAAGTCAACGTTCCTCAATCGATCTTCCATGACTTGGAATTTTTCAGTTAACTTAAAAATTTCACTTTTTATTTCTTGTCGTATTTCTATAGAGTTTTTTTAAAATTTCACTCTTTATTTCTTCTAAGATAGATTGTAGACTTTCATTCAAAACTTTAGTAGTAATTTCTTCCTGTTCTTTGTTGTCTTTATTTATATCCATAGTAGATGGCTTTAAATTTGTTAACGATGATCTCGGTTTATTCCCTTTTGAATCTTTAGATTGAGGAGAAAAAAATATATCTAAGTTTTTTTTCTTGATGTACTTCTCCTTTATCTCCTTTGTCTCGATTTGATGCAGATTTGGATTCTTGAACTATTTTTTTAGGAGCCATCAGCTTCCTTGTATTTTGCACTCCTTCTGATTTGTCTTCACTCACTTTCCTTTTTATTTAATTATTATTTGCAATGTCTCTTTTCTTTTTTTTTTTTTCCTCCTTCATTTTCTTTTCTTTTCCTTCCGTTTGTTTCCTTTTTATTTTTTCCACCTTTTTTTATTTTTTTTTTTTTTATTTTTTATTATTTATTTATTTTTTTTTTTTTTTTTGTATATTTTTTTATTATTATTTTTTTTTTTTTTTCCTTTGTCAATACAAATATATGAGTAAATTAATATATAGAGTGAACACAATTCTCTTGGTTTTTATAGATACTGTGAGACAATAGTTAGGTGAGAAAGGAAGGAAAACAATAAAAAGGGGATTTTCTTATCTTATCTTTTAAGTGGAGTCTCTTGTCATCTAGATGGAGTTTAAACCTTGGAGCCTGAGCGCCGAGAGTTGCCGTTCCACGGTGCGTCCAACCATCAGATGCCCCAACGAGCACTCCCACTCCTCGACCCGCGGGCCAGCCGACCACACAGGATTCCAGTGAGGGTCTCAGTGAGTATATATATTATTTCCAGAAGAGTGCAAACAAGCATCAGAGAAAAAAAAACTTAGAATAATGTCTTTTCGGCGAATAATTGTAGCACGCTGTTACCATGCACTATCGCAATTATCCAGCAAAGCTTAATGATTTTAGTAATTCAGCTTAATTCAGCTTACATTCCGCCTGGGATATAAATTCTTTTGGAGGAAGCTTGAAGAGGCTTAAAAGGGCTTGAAAAATCCCCAAAGTGTCCGACAGCGTTTTCGGTCTGTCGGTACATTGTGTCGGCGTCTCACAGCATTTGCAGCGCTCACAGCCCTTAGACCGCCATCACAATCCCCTCCTCACGACGTACGACGCACGGCTACGTCCTGCTTCCGTCCCACGCCCACATCACCCCCCTCTCAGTATCATTATAGATACTCACCAGTCAGCATCTTTATTATCAGTGTATAGATCGTAAGTATGGCATGTTTGTTATCATTGTATAGATACTCGGTATAACTATACAGAGTGACATGTGTATTAACCCTTTGTTGTGGATCAAATCAAGTTTTTGTATATCTGCCTCTGTCTGAATTATAAAGTTGATTGCGTGCACGCTCCCAAAGTAATTTACACCGGACACGAGTTTCAAGTTAAAGCGGCACTGTCATGCCGAACTTACCTTTCCTCAATCTCTTCCTCTTCTCCCCCTCTCTCAGGATCTGTTCTTCTTTTCTTCCTGTCTTCTTTAGTTTTCTTTAAAATCATAAGACAAAGTAGGGACTCTTTGCCTTATGGAGGATTCCTCCGCTTGACCAGCTCTGACCAGCGGAGGAGCAAAGTGTGCTTAATTTCCGCTGGTCAGAGCAATTTTCCCATGATCCCTAGCTTTCCTCTGTGATCCCACAATGCTTCCTGTCATTTTACACTAAACTGACGAATTGCGTTCTAACTGAATGACAACAGTATGTTCGTTTCTTTTAGAACGCAATTCGGCATTTTATTCGGATCGGAATTTCATTCTAATGAATGAAACTCTGATCCTATTCATTGCTGTGGCTGCATTTTGCAGCCGCTTAGTAGATAACTCCCTAATTCCCACGGTATCAGGGAGCTATCTACTAAAAGGCTGAAAGACCTAAATTGGTCTAACAGCCAACTTTACTAATACTAAGTAAAGATTACTTAGTATTAGTAAATAATATGCCCCTACTCGCTATATCGCGAGTAGGGGCATGTGTAGTAAGCAGTGAGCAGCTTATAGCTGCTCACTGTAAAAAAAAACTAATAGCCCGGCACTTGCGTGGGGGCCTAAATAAAGATG